TGTACTTACCTTGAAAGTGCTCAATCCAATTATAAAGTTGCTGGTCTGATTCAAACCTATATATTTCAGATGAGGGAAACTAAAATCAGGATTCGTAATTTCTCATAGCATATTCTCGTAACTTCTAGGAACACTGGTAGTCCATAACCCAACAAGAAAAAAATATTTTTATATACTTCTTAATTAATGTTGCTGATTTCTTGCTCCATTAGTTTTAGCCCTACGTATGCTGAGTACTTCTGTTTTTCTTTGCATTTGATTTCATAATTGGCTGTGTGATGGAGGTAACTTTTCAGGTCAATACAAATTCATTTCTATGCAATCCATAGATGAGATGTTCGAGAAAGGAAGAGATGCATTGGATCAATCGGCTTTGAACAGGCTGATGCAGAAGGTAAGATGCTGATAAGTAATTGGCATGCTTTCTAACTGATCATGCATGAATATTTATCAATGGTTTTTTGTTCTTGATGTTAAGTTCAATTTCCGTATTTTACTTCATATTTGCACAAAGCCTTTTTGAGTTTTTCGTCTTGGTGACTGGCCGTTCCTGGTATATTTATATTTCTATAGCCCATTGTTTGAGCCCCATTCCCTAAAAATTCATTTTTTTCCAAACTCATTTTCAACCAACTCTCGTGATAAAATAATTTTGCATATAAACCCAGAACTTTTTTCCTACTTTTTAACCACAAATTCTCTAAAAAAAAAAATCACTATTACAAAACTCTTTTTTCACAAAACATGTTGTTATAACTAAATTATAAGCATGAGAAGTATCTGGCTCCAAAATCATGTGCAGCAATACAATAACAACATTAGAGAGAGACTCATGTTTTTAGGTCATAGAAGTTCATATTTCATGTAACATCTCACTTCATGGAATCTATACTGTTTCTTTTGATTGGAGTTGATATTGTTCTTATAGCCGGTAAGATTTCATACCACATTTGTATGTGCTTCATAATTAAGTTTCTTGGGAGACCTTTTAAAAGAAAAGAACTGTTGCCTTGCTCATTTTAACTACACAGAATATGTTTGGCTAAGCTTAGAAGGTTCTTAAAAGTATCTTTTTTGAAAGTTTGTCTCTACCTACTCTACTTTCAAAAAAGCACGAGTGTCCTTAAATCATGCTCACAGAGCAGGACAGAAAGCAAAACTAAACGCAAAAGGGAGAATTTTTTTCCTTTTTCTTGGAAGTTGTCATGCAGTTGATCATAATATTAGAAATGCTTTCTGCATGTAAGAAGTTGCATTGAACTGTCAGACTTGTACCTTGCAACAAGCCCTAGAGGAAATTAGTCAACCAGTTGTTTTTGTACAAAACTTTGTCCATGGGAATCAAGTATTCATTGGCTTTAGGATCATTTGTTTTGAGAGAATCTATTACATGGAAATGGTCAACCATTAATATCAAGATGATGATACTAAGAAATTATGGATAAAGATGAAAGATTAACAATTTGGAAACTTCAGATTATTCCTAGCTGCAGCATGTTCAATGGCTATGGTTTTTTTCTTGGTTGGATGGTGGTCGGAAGAATGGTTGGTTTATGGGTAGGGTTGGATGAGGATTTTTGGTTGAGAGATCATAATAGTGCTTAGGTGGATGACCTCTATCTTAACGTTAAACTATACCCTGTGCTGTCTTCTACATGATATTTTCAGCTTTTGGTACATTTAACAGTTAATATTTTGAAACACCCTGCGCATCGATGTCCAAAGCATGGAGCATGATTCTGCTAAAGTTGTCTGACACCAGAAGCTGCTTGATCTTACATTTTCCAGACTGGTTTTGACATGGAGGAGATTTTACGGAAGTCTATAAGAGATGTTGAATGAGAAGCTATTTAATCAAAGATCGTGTATCAAACTTGCAAACAAATTAGTGGGATGGCCTGAATAATCAAGGCAATTTGCATCTTTCTAGGGTTATTACATATTAAATATCTTGTTAGTAGCTGCTGGTGGTGCCTCCCCTTTATATGTTGAAGCTGTTAAACTCCTTCTTTTGGAGCCTCTAGGATGTGGTGGAGGGTGGTTTTTGTATTGTTGAGAACTTGACAAGTCTGTAAATTTATGTGGATACGTAGAACCTGTGTTTTTTTTTTTTTTCAAATTGGAAAAATGAAAACCTGCAAGTTCAGGCTACATCTTTATATTCAGATGGGAATGTGCATGCATTTCAGGTCCTGTGGTTATGGATATGACAGGATATTCTGAAAGGGGTTTCGAAAGAAAACTTGCGTGCAAACCCATTTTGGAAAGGTTTATTATCTCTCTGAGGTGAGCCACTGCTCTATACCTGTCCTGACATTATCTCAACTACTTTGTTGTTCTGAATTACTTTAGATAGTAATTAACTCTCCAGTGATTTGGACAATTATTTCACTAAGTTTTGTGTCCATGCTCTCAAGTTCTGAATTCGTGAATTCTCAGTAAGTTCTGAGTGAGTACAAGTATTTTATAACAAATACAGTGCACGTGCCTTGTATTGCTGCTGGATTAGGGATAAATAAACAAGACTTGTTGAAGTTTTGATTTATTAATATCAAGAAAGGGGCCACTTTCTTGAAAATCTAATGTAATTGTTATTGAAGTTATGTTAATAAGCTACATCAAAACTCCCATGTTTTAAGAGATGCAGAATGCAGTTTTTTTCATTTTTAGTTTTGAATATCACATATGTTTAACAAGTCTGATGACCTTCAAAAGGTTCCATCTGTTGAATTTGAATCATCTTGTATAGTGGATGATCTGGCAAAAATACATCTTTCGTATATTCAGCTTTAATGATTGATCTGGGATTTAAGCCGAGACAGCCCAAAGCAGGCTCTATTAGGCTTGGTGCTGTAACCTCCCGCATTCATAACACTCTTCTTTTGATTAGTTTGTCTCCAGTTTCATTTGTAAATATATGTATTTGAGGAAATTGCAGCTCGTGCCTCGGTCGTCCAGTTTCTGGAATTATTTATTTCGTACTCGAGGAGAAAGTGCACGTTTGGCAAAGCTAAGCTGGTCAAACATAACATTTATTATCACATTTTGTAGGATCCACAATACTATCCACTTATTATCCACACCTTTCTTAGAACCCACAACTTATAAGCACTACCCAACAAGCTAAAGGACACTGGTTAGATTGGTTTGACATTAGATTTCCAAACCCAATATAGTTTTTCATAAAATTAAAGATTTTTATGTTCCGAGAAGTCTTAAATATCAGATACCTAGCATTTTGGTTTTTGTTTAGGATTGGGTTAATTGCTAAGTTTATTTTCCATTATGTAGATGAATGAGATTTGCCACGTGTTAAAAAACACTATCTTCTTTCAATGTAGATAAGAAACTGTATATAAACTTAAGGTGGGTTAAGTTAATCTTTGATAGCCAAGTTAGGTTTTAAAAGAGGGCTAGTTTAGGATGATGATTCTAGCCTAATAGCTTGCTGTCTGTACTAGTGACTGTGATTTGATAATAATGTCTCGTAACATTAGCACTGGTCTAAAGTGTCCCTTCAGTGCATATTGCTTAGCAGTGTTAGACTCTAGTGCAGTGTAAAATGGACAAGATTTTTATCTTCTTTTACTATATTAATATTATTGAGTATAGTATAATCCACTTTACCAAATATGCCATTTGTCTACCTTGGTCATGTTTAGCTATTTATTACAGGTTACTCAATATTTTCCAGTATCTTGTTCTGTTGGTTGAACATTTCACTTTGCTGTGTACCAGCTGCCCCAGTTCTGTTCAAGGGATAACTCTTTTAACTGTCAAGGAAATTTTTGGAGCAGCAGAGTAAGGATCTTCATTTTCATCCTCCTAAATCTTCTCGGCTATCATTTGCGTGACTTCCAATTTATTGATGTTTGGCTTAGTTGTTTTAATCTCTTCAGCGAAGATGCTGAAAAGCTGAGGCTACACACTGTCACAGAAGCTGGGGACATGGATTCACTGGAGGAGAAGGTTGATGGTTCGGAATCGGAAGAGTCAGCAGTTGGCTAATCCAATGGTTCTTGAGAAGCTTAGGCTACACACCAATTTTTATGGGTTTGAGAATGCATCATCAGTTACAGTTGTAAAGCGGTACATAATTTGTCTTTTTTTGGTGTTTTATAGCAGGTGACACTTGGGGAGATTTTTGCGATTGATTCAGTAGTTCATGATGTGGTAGTAAAGGTCGTTCTAACTTTAATAAGATGGCATACAAGAAGAATTATCTCAGTTTTGCTCCAATTTTTATCCATACTTCATATGACTCGTAATTATCCGTTTATTCAACACTATTTTTTATCTATTTATAATTTAAATCGTTTATAAATAACTTTCAAGAATAGTTGTACTCGACCAAAAAAAATATAAATAGAGAAATGATCACAGATAGCATCATCGATTGATGGTACATGACAAATATCAATGCAAATCAGTGATTTGAATGAAATTTTTGTATTAGTGATAATTGATGCACTTCCGACAATGATTATTTATGGTAATATTGTTCATGATGTCGTCTACAATAATATTAACATTAATGTTAAACTTTTATTTGTGCTAATTTTTAATTTCCTAGGTCTAAATTAATCATCGATCATCACTTAACTTAAATTTATTTTATTTAAACAAGAACGATCTATTGCAAATTGTAATACTTATTTTGGCTGCCAAATTCCCAAAACTCTACTCGGCACGTAAAATGTATATCTTGCGGTAAGTACACAAATACTAGTGTAAAAGGCGAAAATAATTAATCAAATGGAAATTTGGCTGCTCGATATGACTGACTAGTGACGACTTCGAATTTTGGACATGGAGATGTTGAGAAAGCAGCACCAGCCACCAAAGACTACACAACCCAAATAGGGGACGGAGTTTCCAATGCGTTTAGGCTGATACAAATACTGATTAAACTTCCAAACGAACACAGTATTTGTATTTGATGAATTTCTTTTCTGGAATTCGTTTTCGTTCATTTTGATTCATCATCATCATATCATAAAATGATTCACCAATGTATTTCCAAGCTTCCATTCTCTCCTCCCCCTTCTTTGCCCACCATTAGATCCAATTCTACAATCCGTTGTGAATCACCTGCCGCCAGCAACGAAATGGCTGTGAAAAGGGACCCACCTTACCCGGGTGGGGTGGGCCTGCATACGGGCAGAGACCCGAATGTCAAGAAGCCTGGGTGGCTGAGGCAGAGGGCACCGCAGGGGGAGAAGTACGAGGAGGTGAAGGAATCCCTGTCCAGGCTCAAACTCAATACAGTGTGTGAAGAAGCGCAGTGTCCAAACATCGGGGAGTGCTGGAATGGCGGTGGAGATGGGATTGCTACTGCAACGATTATGCTGCTAGGTGACACTTGTACACGGGGATGTCGATTTTGTGCAGTCAAGACTAGTAGGAACCCGGCGCCTCCGGATCCTATGGAACCTTACAACACTGCCAAGGCAATTGCAAGTTGGGGGTATGTAATTTTAATTCTCTTGCTGCAGAGTTTTTACTGGACTAGTTCTCGACTTTCTTCTTTTATTAGCGAGGTAACTAGTTAGTTAGGCCAATCTCACATTAAGGACTTGAAATTTATCTTAATTTGGTTGTGGGATTATATTGTTTAAGATGAAATAAACGGAAACGCGAACATAGATGAGTAGTAGGGTGAGTGAGATCTCTTGAATTTAAATGGTAGTATTGTGGACATCCTTCAATATTTGGCGGTACATCTTCGATAATTTGTAAAAACCCCAGTGAAATGCTTGGTACTACTTTTACATTTGTCCAACTCTTCAGGAATCCTACTTTAATCCAGAAAGCAAAAATAACTGAAGTAATACTTATTATGGATATTGAGAGATAAAATAACTGCATCTATGTTTATCTTGCGAAAAAGGGGGAAAAAATTAATGGAACATCTCTAGTTGACACGATAAACAGGTTTTGAGGTTGGTGTATTATCATATTTTTGTAACTAGGAGATCCTACGATTTTCTGTCAGTTGTCCTTTAAGTATTGGTGCATGGTGTGCAGAGCTTGGCTGCACGCCAAACCACAATAAACCAGTTACATATCTGTGTTCCTGCATACTGAAAGCTTTAACACAGGGTTGTGAATTTGTGATCCAGAACTTTTCTTGAGTATTGATTAGTGAACAATTTAGAGTAGAACAGATACAAATTCTTTGTTTCTTACTATGAGAAGCTAAGCAGGATTGAAATCATTTTTTTTCTTTTTCTTTTATTATTATTATTATTATTTATTTATTTTATGTTTTCTTTTTTCTTTTTTTTTTTTTGTTCCCGATGTACCTCTAGGT